GCTTGCCTTGAGCTGAAGAGCTGAGGGACAGCACCCAGCCCCAGAGTTCAAGCCCCATGACCGACAAAAAAAAAAAAAAAACCACCACCAAGGCCCTGACAACAATAATTTAGGAAATTCCATCCTAGACTATAGTAAGGGAATGCCACAGGTTCAGTACCAAGGCTAGTCTACATGAGGAAGCTCAGGAGAAGACAGTGCAAAGGTGGCTGTATCATACTACAAAGTCTATTCTGTTCAGGAAGCTGCTTCAACCCAGCAGCAGGCCGCAATGAGATGCTGCCTCACCTGCTGGTATCCTGTGCATGTGACAAGCTTCTGTGAACCAGGGAGGAACTGTATATCTTGTTCCCAAATGGGAACCCGCAGATTGAGCCAGTCATTCCGCACCTGGGGAGAGGAAGTAAGGTAGGAAGATGAGGTATAGACAGGCTTAGTGTGCCACTTCCTTACCCTCATTACACCCGTAAGCCCATCTAGACTCAGGTTAGTCAGTGACCTCAGCCTCCCCTGACCTCATCCGCAGTCTCTCCTTGCCCCATCACTCACATTCTTGGCTTTGAACACAGGTTCCTTGGATCCCTGCAGGTCCCACACTTTCAAAGCATTCTCCTTCCCCCCAGTAGCAACCATGTGGGGGTGTGCTGGGTCTTGGCGCATCCTACATACCTCAGGACCTACCCTCAGTTCCAAGAGCTGTAAAGAATGACAGATGGGTCAGCGCAGAATCCTTCATCCTCCCTCTCCCAAAGCCTCCATGAGCCCTAGCTGGCTTCCACCCTCCTCAGCTATTAAGTCTAGACTCTCACGGGGTCAGATGATGTCTCTTTCTCACTGTCATGCCAGACTCTGAGGATCCCGGAATCCACACATGTGATGAGGTTGCTGCAAGCAGGGAAGGAAATAAGGATTTTAAAACATGAAGCCCGGTACAGGTGATGTGATCCTGTAGTCCCACCATTAAAAAGGCTGAGATGAGAGGACCACATGAACCTATAAGTTCAGGACTGGCCAACATAGTGACACCCTATCTCAAAAAAACGTGAGGCTGGACACCGATGGCTCATGCCTGTGATCCTAGCTACTCAAAGAGGTTGAGATCTGAGGATGGAGGTTAGAAACCAGCCCAGGCAGAAAAGTCCCCAAGAGATTCTTTCTCCAATGAACCACTCAAAACAAACCAGCCAGAAGTGGTGCTGTGGCTTAAGTGGCAGAACACTAGCCTTGAACACACAAAGAGGCTCAGGGACAGTGCCCAGACCCTAAGTTCAAGCCCCACAACCCACCAAAAAAAAAAAGTGAGGCTGGGCGCTGGTGGCTCATGTCTGTAATCCCAGCTAAGGAGGCTGAGAGTGGGGGATTGTAGTTTGAATCCAACCAGGACAGAAAAGTCCATGAGACTCTAATGTCCAATTAATCAACAAAAAGCCAGAAGTGGAGCTGTGGCTCAAGTAGTATAGCCTTAGCTTTGGACAAAAACAAAACAAAATCTCAAGGACAGTACCCAGGTCCTGAGTTCAAGTCCCAGGACCCCGCCCCCCCAGTATGTTTTATTACATGAATACTACAGGACTATTATATGTTTTCCAGTGCTACCTCAAACATTATAATGGAACCAGAAGAAAATTCTAGAGGATGCAAGCTTTATGAAGGAATACAGTTTGTCTGCTCATTGCAGGTGAAAACTACACTCAGTATTCAATAAATGTGTAAAATAGAAATGAACCACGGAAGGCAGGAACCCTGGTCCCTGTCACCCATCCAAGGGCAGTGTGACCTAAGGATGTAACACCTTTATTCAGTTATCCTTAGGGGAGGGGGAGGGGACCTCAAAGCTCTCCCTACGAGGTGAACCTTGACCAGTCTTACCCATCGGCCTGGGCGAGACCTCGGAAGGTGCCCTCCCCGCCGGGGCAGTGTCTCTGGCCTTGGAAAATGCCCTCCTCAGTATCGAAGCGCTTCACCGTCCCATCCGCGCAGCCCACCAGAATCTGCAAGGGGAGGCAAGAGGGTAGGATGGCAAGGGCGAGGCTGCCGCCCGCGCCCCGGCCCAGGGCGCCCCGGCCCA